CCGACCAGACGGAATCACACTGCGACCGTGGAAGGGTGGCAGACAGTTGGCATGGGACTGTACTTGTGTATCCACCCTGGCAACCACATACATCAACCTCTCTGCCGGCACAGCAGGAGCTGCGGCGACACGCAGAGAAAGAGACAAGTCAGCCAAGTACAGGCAATTAGATCATCGGTATAACTTCGTTCCAATAGGGTCTGAGACTCTAGGCCCATGGGGAGAGAGTGCAAGAAGGTTTCTTAAGGATCTTGGTTCCAAGCTCATTGACACCACAAGAGACCCTAGAGCAGCAAGTTTTCTCTTTCAGCGCCTCAGTGTCGCGATCCAGAGGTGGATTGCTCGCTGCATCCTCGGTTCATGCCCGGCGTCGGAGGAGTTCGAGGAAATCTACAGCCTCTAGGAAGCGAACTCTTTTTTGTGTCCTCTTAATGTTAATTTTTTTTGCATAAAATCAGATATGTAACTGTATAACCTTGCATAATAAAGTGTACACCATAAAAAAAAGGGGGGTGGTAGGAGAAGCGAACACACTTACGTATTCAGAGTTAAATGGCAAGTTTTTCCCTGAATGCTCTGTGTTCCCTTCTCTGAGGCTGTGGGTCCCTATAATTGCACCAGTGGTGGTACCCTCCTATATATATATATATGTCGTACCTAGTAGCCAGAACGCACTTCTCAGCCTACTATGCAAGGCCCGATTTGCCTAATAAGCCAAGTTTTCCTGAATTAATATATTTTCTCTAATTTTTTTCTTATGAAATGATAAAGCTACCCATTTCATTATGTATGAGGTCAATTTTTTTTATTGGAGTTAAAATTAACGTAGATATATGACCGAACCTAACCAACCCTACCTAAACTAACCTAACCTATCTTTATAGGTTAGGTTAGGTTAGGTAGCCGGAAATGTTAGGTTAGGTTAGGTAGGTTAGGTAGACGAAAAACAATTAATTCATGAAAACTTGGCTTATTAGGCAAATCGGGCCTTGCATAGTAGGCTGAGAAGTGAGTTCTGGCTACTAGGTACGACATTATATATATATATATATATATATATATATATATATATATATATATATATATATATATATATATATAACTGAAAACTCACACCCCAGAAGTGACTCGAACCCATACTCCCACAACTGGTATGTACAGGGACGCCTTAATCCGCTTGACCATCACGACCGGACATAAGGAAGTGATAGCCGAGGCTATATGAACCACTTCCCCGCCGGCACTCGGATGGTAATCTTGGGCATAGCATTTTATTTTTAATTATTACCATCAGATTACCATCCGAGTGCCGGCGGGGAAGTGGTTCATATAGCCTCGGCTATCACTTCCTTATGTCCGGTCGTGATGGTCAAGCGGATTAAGGCGTCCCTGTACATACCAGTTGTGGGAGTATGGGTTCGAGTCACTTCTGGGGTGTGAGTTTTCAGTTGTATATAGTCCTGGGGACCATTCAGGCTTGTTTGCATATATATATATATATATATATATATATATATATATATATATATATATAATGTTGTACCTAGTAGCCAGAACTCACTTCTCAGCCTACTATACAAGGCCCGATTTGCCTAATAAGCCAAGTTTTCATGAATTAATTGTTTTTCGACTACCTAACCTACCTAACCTAACCTAACCTAACTTTTTCTGCTACCTAACCTAACCTATAAAGATAGGTTAGGTTAGGTTATGTAGGGTTGGTTAGGTTTGGTCATATATCCACGTTAATTTTAACTCCAATAAAAAAAATTGACCTCATACATAATGAAATGGGTAGCTTTATCATTTCATAAGAAAAAAATTAGAGAAAATATATTAATTCAGGAAAACTTGGCTTATTAGGCAAATCGGGCCTTGCATAGTAGGCTGAGAAGTGCGTTCTGGCTACTAGGTACGACATTATATATATATATATATATATATATATATATATATATATATATATATATATCGCCATACACTTGCATGAACTCGCAAGGAATTTTTAACAAACAGAACACTTCCCCATATGAGAAAATCGCCAGGCCAGAGCTCTAACCACTGGACCAACCTCAGACCGTTAAAAAGAAGGAAATTTGGGTGCGTTGTACACCACTAAACTCCCTCCCCAACGGCTCCAGAGGAGCCGTTCTGGGCTTAGAGTCCGCGGGGACTCTAAGCCCAGAAATCGTTTATCTAAGCAAAATAAATTGTTGGGTTCAGTCCCTGAGCCCATTATGTGCCTCTGTATCCCTTTCAACTACCCCCCCACAAGATGGGTATGGGGTGCATAATAAATGAACTAAACTAAAAACTTGAGAAATTTCATATGAATGGTATGTATTCAATGATATGCTGATAATTTAACAGTTCCAGTAATATCACTTAAATTATGTACTTCGTAATTCTGAAGCACTACAGCCCTGGCGGTACTTCGAACATCAACTAAAATGACCGCGTTACTGTAGGGTAGCCAGCCCATCCTCATAAAGCTCAAATGCTTGTTAATCCAACCGCCAAACCCCCTGTTTATGAATGAAAAACGGTTAACACGAAATGTTTATGAATGAAAAACGGTTAACACGAAATGTTTATGAATGAAAAACGGTTAACACACGAAATGAACACGAAATGGGGCAAGGTGTACAGTACTAACATTGCGAGTAATCCTGTGATTCGCTTTGAAGCTTTCTTTTTTTCTTTTTTTATGAATGGAAATACAAAATTACACAAAGAAAACACGGTGCCAAAGCACCAACACCAACAAAACCACAGGAACAGTATAAAATCAAAGTAACACAAGATATAAACAGGCTATACAAAGGAAATATACATAAGCACTAAGAAACCGTCACTAGAATATAAACACAACAGTAACAATCACAGGAGCTCCCAACACAGGGAACCAGCAAATACCGGGAACGAGTCCCAAGCAAGCTTGTTATGTTTCTCCGGATACAGGATACCGATAACAGTAAGCATCCCATAGCCCCCACTCCTCCTTGGTAGGGCGGACATATACCCCGTGCACGAGGACGCAGCCTAGACTCCGGAATGACCATGTCGGGAGGCGGACAGACCTAATTCGACAACACAGGGGGCGGAAGACACAGAAGGCGAAGGCGGGAGAGGCAGAACCAGGGAAGCTCAGGCACAGAGGACAAAGAGGTACGGATGGCGGCCGTACAGAGGGTGGCTGCACCAGGGGCTGACGCACTGAGGGCGGGAGCACAGAGGCCTGCGGCACGAGGACTACCGGAACAGAGTCCTCCTTCAAAACCATCACCAAATCCTGCCCACACATGCAACCTCAACCAGGGCCTCAACCCCCCCCCCCCAACCCGGGAACCAACAACCAGGGACTCAGAACACCAGTCACTCGGACGACCCCCACCACAGGAACCACAGGAACCACCACAGCCTCACCACGGCCCACAGGTGCCGAAGGCATCCCCCTACAGCATCATCTGCATCACAGTCCACGGAATACAGAGAACTGCTAAAGTCGCCCACATCCTCCCATGAAGCATTACCAGGGCAAGGGGAGGCACTGCAAGCCCTCCGCGACCATTTTGAAACCGGCTTTAGGTCATCAGAATCCAGTGCCTCCACGACCTCCACAGACAGGTCAGGAGAACCACAGGGAGGCGGCACACGGGTATACTCCACACGGCTACTCAATACTTCCACCACAACGGCACGGGGTGCACCGGATCATGCACCTCTACACGCGACACAACAGGAACAAGCACCACACCCGCGACACCAGGCAGCACACCATGACCATCCACCAAAGAAGTCACATCCTCCACAGAAATCGCCACAGGAGACGGAGGACAGGGAGGCGCGGGCTGGCACGTCCCGCACACTCCATAGCCGGGACAATACCACCAACAACCTGGGAGCACACGGATGACGGCGACACCACCAGCCGATCCACAGACTGGGCCACATCCGCTGCGTCACCACACACAGGGGCCGGCACGTCCTCCAGCGGGAGGGAGTCTTCTTCTCAGATCAAGTTCATGGGAGCTGCACCATTCGCACGGTAATCTGTCGCCTGGTGACCATCATGACCACACCAGAAACACGTCCTAGGCTGTCCAGCGTAGAAGATGCGAACGTGTAAAAGCATTATGGAGAAAGGAATTGGAGACTTGAGGCGCATTGTTATAGTACGAGTCTCATTCGAAACACTCCACCATCTGCCAGACGAGACGACGTTCATCGACACGTTCACAACAGCCCCCACGCGTGCCAAAATATCGCCGTAACAGGCCTTCCGGGTACTCGAACGGTATTCTGAGTACCGCCACATAAGTAGTGGAACCATTACAGTCCGACACTGTGACGGTACCACCGTCACCAGGCACGGGGAACATACGCCTATTATACCGGGTCACCAGATCCTGGAAGACCGCAGCAGAGCCGAGCTTAACTAGTGCCCGGCAACTGTAGAGTAGCTGCACATCACACACGTCTACAACAGCAACACGCAGGAGATCAAGTACCACCACCACCACCATCAGGTACGACTCCTGTCCAGAGAACTCCAAACTGATCGTGTCAGTATACCGGACAGGAGGCAGGGGCAGCCCCAGTTCGTTGGTCAGCCACGGCCAGGAGGCCCTGCAACAAGACCAGTCACACCAATCGCCGGGTCAACACTGGAAGAGCGACGACCACACACCTGCGCCCTCCGCTAGCTAACCAGCCAACCAGCGGGTAATCCTGTGATTCACTTTGAAGCTTAATTAGTCGTGCACGATCGCCAGTTCTTAACACCAAGTTTCTGAGATTCAGTGTTCAGAATAACTCTGCTTTCAATGTGAAACGTATTACCGTGTTCTCGACCACCATGTTTGTATGAGTACTCACTGCACCATTGTAGGTATATGCCATATATCTACATATATACAGATATATGGCATGGAGCCATATATCTGGTAATGGCGCTGCCCCCATGAGGGTGTAATGTTTATAGAGACAATGAAGCTCACCTTGAGTCTGATGTTTCGGGAGTCTTGTTCGTAGCTGCTGGAAGTAGACAGGTTGACTGGCGAGTCCTATTATCGCCTGGTGTGTCCGAGAATCTCAGAGTCCTGGTACTGAGAGTGAGGTTGGGATCAGCTATTATTTCATGAAGGTGCAGGTATCTACAGCCCCGGGGGCAGTGCCCCTTCGTCAGCTCGGCCAGTTACCTCCGCGTATGACATTTGTCTGGATTCATGAAGCATTTATGCATCTATCCGGACTTGTACATCTTTTCTCAACCTTTGGCGGCTATGTTTACTTTCATTAAACAGTTTGTGAGCATCGAAACTTCCCAATTAAATGTTATTATTGTTATAAACAGCTTCCAAGTTCTCCTGAGCTCGTAAATTGTTTAATATATGTAAGCAAAGTTGAAGAAAAGATGTACAGGTTCGCAAGTAGAGGCGTAAATGCTTGTTAAACACTATCTTTAGAGAAAAGAAATACTCCGGCTGGCGAACAACATTTATTTAGTTCCCTCCACATGGTTATATTATCATCCTTGGTCAATATGTCTCTGATGAGGATCTGGGTGTCATGAAATTATGCGATTGTCAATTATTCTTGTTAGTGCATTGTTAGATGTCTTTAAAGGCGTGTAATCGTCCTGCCTATACAGTGAGAGCTCTAGGGCTGACAGATATGCTGACCAAACCAATAATACAAATATGTAAATTTTTCTAAATTAGTATTACTAGACACATGAAATTATAATATAATACTATATATAGCAAATATATATATATATATATATATATATATATATATATATATATATATATATATATATATATATATATATATAGCCTCGGCTATCACCTCATTATGTCCGGTCGTGATGGTCAAGTGGATTAAGGCGTCTTGTACATATATATATATATATGATCGATGTTCCCTTCGGGAATCTTAATTTTAAGATGAATAGGAAAACCAGGGATATACTGAACATCTTGTATCAGATTCTTTACTTTAAAATGCATAACGTTTCGAATACTTCTCGTATTCATCATCAGATCTAAAAGAAAAAAACAGAAATCACAATCAAATAACTGGTAAACAAAGAACTCATACTGAATATAATTGCCTATCAAAGAAAGGAAAATGCTTAAAAAACAAAACACTTAAGCGCACTTAAAAGTGATCAATACAAATAAACCTTATTAACTGTCGTATATATAAAAGCTAATTTAAAAATTCATTAGACAACAAGACGAAATTCATAACTACTAAAACAAACTATTCTATTAAACTTACGTGAAGTGATCAGAAGTGAAACTTGATACCTAACACATAGATACTAAACACTATAACAAATATTCATATAATGACTACAAATCTACAAAATATATATATAAAATACAAACAGAATAAACGACAATTATAAAGTACTAACCAAAATCTTATAAAAACTCAAAAATTAAATAAAATTAAATACCAAAAAATGTATTATATATCCTAAATAAAAGATTATAATAATGTACAATGTCAAGACTTGAAATAAGTAAGAAAGGGCAAAGGCATGATAAACTAAACAAAATTATAATAAAATTAAACTACCAGAATGAACTATAAATCAATTTACAGGGCCTACTGTGCACTATACAGTGTACAATTGAACAGCTGAAAGGTTGCTATTTAACAGAGGCCGCAGCTCCTTTATATATAAGGATTCCATTACTCTCAAATCTGACTGGCCATTCATACAAGTGTCCAGAATTTTAAAATCAGATTCCAGCAGAGAATGATTAAACTCATAACAATGGTTTCTAATCTCCGAAAATGCTGGTTTAGACAATGGTAATCCAGTCCTAAAAGATAATCCCCGGTGCTCAAGTATCCTAATCTTAAAGTTCCGAATGGAACTCCCGATATATCCAGCATTACAGCTGGAACAATTATACATATATACGACATTTGAGCACAAGGGGGTAGGCACTTTATCCTTAAATTTAAAATAAGAGCCTATGGTATTTGTGTTGACAAAAATAAATCTAAAGTCTACTTGAGGATAACAATGCTGCAACAGTCTCCTCAAACGACTCCTTACAGAAAAACTAATAGTGCCATAAAATGGTAATTTAATATATTTAAGATCCCTTTCTACTGTAGTAATCCTACACGATGGGTGAAACTTCTTATTTAAGAAATTCCTTATAAAGGTATAAACCATATGCAAAGGATAACCATTATTTGAAAAAAATTTCACAAGAAAATTAATTTCTTTATCAAAGTTATTCCAATTTGAACATAAAACAAAGGCCCTATTCAGTAGAGTGTTAATTGCATTTTTCTTAAAAATATCAGGAACAAAAGAATTAAAATTTAAACCTAAACCAGTAAAAGTTGGTTTCCTAAAAACATTAGTGTTGAACCCATTAAGGTTATTCACTTTTACATCAAGAAACGACAATGAATTGTCCACTTCACACTCTGCAGTAAAACGTATATTACTATGTTGTGCATTAAGATACTCTCTTAATTTCTCAATATGACATGGGTCCTTGAATAACAAATAAGTGTCATCTACATATCTCCTGTACAAGACTGGTTTAAAGGCCAAAGGACAATTATCAAGCTAATTTATTTCATGAAAACTCAAAAAAGCATTAGCCAGTGCAGGACCTAAAGGAGACCCCATTGCTACTCCATCAATTTGTTTATAATATTTGTTATTAAACATAAAGACGGAGTCTTTAACCGCTATTTCTAACAGCCGTCTGAATATTTTACTACAAAATCCAGACACTAAATTAGTGTCAGCAAGTAATTGATTCACACAGATATCAATGGTTTCCAACAAAGGAATATTAGTAAAAAGTGATTCAACATCGAAACTGGCCAATATAGTTGGAAACTCAAAATTTAAAGAGGAAAGTTCTTTTACAAAATCCTGAGAATTTCTCACACTAAATTCATTATGCGTTAATGGTTCTAATAATGGAACCAGAAATTTTGCCAGTTTATAATTAAAAGTGCCAATCGCTGATAAAATAGGACGAATCGGTATACCTGTTTTATGAACTTTAGGTAACCCGTATAAGATGCCTGGCTTAGAGCCAGTTGCAAGTAATTTTGTATAATCAAAAAGAGTCTTTCAGACTTCTTAAAACTCTATTTAGTTTATCCTCACATTTCAAAATATACGAAAAAAGGTCTATATCAACTAACGTAAATTTAGAGGGGTCTTCTAACAACCTTTCAACCTTATTCACATACTCTAACTTGTCCAAAACCACTATTCCCCTACCTTTATCTGGTCTGGTAATACAAATACTCCTATCATTCTTTAAGCCATTAATACAATCCAATTTCCTTTTGTCAAAAGGAGGGAATATAGATTTATATTTACCAAAGTCATTAAAGACTTCATGTGCTAAGGAAGAAACAGTACTGATGATATTGGTCCAACTATAATTTGTACCAGTCCTTAGGGTACAAGTTTTCAATGTGTTGCATAACCGCTCAAAACCTAAAAAATGATTAACAAATTTAGGTTTTTTACACGTCAACCCGAAGTCTAACCCACAGAGAGAGAAGTTCTTTCTCAATGGGAGACAGAATTCTCTTTGAAAAATTGAAAACCACCTTATCAGGGTCCACCGAATTAAATGAAGGTATACCCAAGTTCCGCAATTTCTTCCCGTGAATAAGTCTACATTTTCAACCCTTTTATCATTATAATTTTCATATTTACATTTTAAGGATGCAAAATCAACCCAGGAAACCAAGATCTTGAATTTCCCCAAGTTCACGTGCAATTGAATATAACGAGCTCCTTATATATAAAGGAGCTGCGGCCTCTATTAAATAGCAACCTTTCAGCTGTTCAATTGTACACTGTATAGTGCACAGTAGGCCCTGTAAATTGATTTATAGTTCATTCTGGTAGTTTAATTTTATTATAATTTTGTTTAGTTTATCATGCCTTTGCCCTTTCTTACATATTTCAAGTCTTGACATTGTACATTATTATAATCTTTTATTTAGGATATATAATACATTTTTTGGTATATAATTTTATTTAATTTTTGAGTTTTTATAAGATTTTGGTTAGTACTTTATAATTATCGTTTATTCTGTTTATATTTTATATACATTTTTTGTAGATTTGTAGTCATTATATGAATATTTGTTATAGTGTTTAGTATCTATGTGTTAGGTATCAAGTTTCACTTCCGATCACTTCACGTTAGTTTAATAGAATGGTTTGTTTTAGTAGTTAAAAATTTCGTCTTGTAGTCTAATGGATTTTTAAATCGGCTTTTATATATGTGACAGTTAATAAGTTTTATTTATATTGATCACTTTAAGTGCGCTTAAGTGTTTTGTTTAAGCATTTTCCTTTCTTTGATAGGCAATTATATTCAGAATGAGTTCTTTGTATATATATATATATATATATATATATATATATATATATATATATATTAGGTAACCATTGGGTTATTTCCCTATGTATATTTTTAAATAAAATATTATTATGATAGGTATGCCTGGTATTTCTGGCTTGGAGTTGGGGTAATATATCTGATACCATAAATATGGAAATATCTTGAACATTAGTGATAGAGTTGTTTGTAAACTCTTGGTTTTTCCAGACTGCTAAGAGGCCATCCAAAGTAGTAATCAACTTCCTCATTAACAACACATAGTTTGAATGTAAAATTACAAAACGGTGATCTTCTTCTTCCAGTAGACTACTGGTAGATGATAGAGGATGACATAAAGGTCAAGATAGTTAACTGAAGATAAGCTTCTTGATCCAGTAGACTGATGTTGCATGACAGAAGTTGACGTAAAAGTTAATACAGTTTAACTAAAAGCGATCTTCTTGATCCAGGCGAGGTAGGCAGGAAGGCGGACGTTGACATAGAGGCCAGGGAAGTCCTTCTGACCACAGCCCACACCACGGGACACGATGCCAGCCAGGACGTAGAAGCCATCTTTGTTCCGGGCCACGATTGGTCCCCCGGAGTCTCCCTGCGGTAGAAAAATGCTTCAGGTTATGGATGAATTGTTTAGCGTGTGAAAGGAAACACACTTCAGCTTATTGGCAGGTGATTTGTACGGTGGAAGGACACTTCAGGTGTTGTCTGGGGTCAGGACGACGTCCAAGACTCTTGGTGTAAATAGTGTAGAGAATAATTCGCAATAAGGTGCCTGAAATAATTCTAAAATCCTACATATATTAAATAAAGTGTCAGGACGTTTCGGTCCGTCTTGAACCCTTATCAAGTCGGTGCGTCCTAGTCCCTTACTAAGTAGTTACATGTCACGGCTTGAGAAGGTTCCAGGACTGACGGAAACATGGTTACTCTCAATATTTACAATAATCAAGTAAATATTGCTATACAGATAGATGACCGCTGAGCTCATAAAAATATTTCGTACACATCAAAATATCGTTTGTTTATATATAAATAAATACACTCAATGTTGAAAAACATATTTTGAAAAGAGCTCCAAGCAGGGCCCGACCCCACGACCTGACCATCGCCACATCTATAATTAAACAAGAGAGTTTTAACAGTTTCACTCCTTCTTTCACAAACTTTTTGTGACGACCAGACATAATCACGATTATATTAATTACGAGTACGACTTTTGGCCGAAACTCTGTACGTAATTAATTTCTTAATAAAACCTGCAAAGACAGTACCTATCGAGTAACCTCTGTAACTGATCCACTGTACTAGGTGAGTACTGTATATTTTATGAATTTATTATTATAGTTCTTCTTTTTCCTATTATAATTATTATTATTATTATTATTATTATTATTGTTATTATTATTATTACTATTATTATTATTATTATTATTATTATTATTATTATTATTATTATTATTATTATTATTATTTTAAGGGCACTAAGACCCATGAACGCAAATGAGTTCACTAATTTACCTGGATTCAACTGAGGGCCAATATCTAGTGGCCTCGGAGGGGGGATAGAAAGCCTGCAACGTGTCAAAAGTAATCCGTACTCCCTCCACACTAGTGGTTCTCAGAATTTTGTCTACCTGGATTTTGAACTGATGTAATGTTATCCAACGAAATATATTGGCTTACCTGACACGAATCTCTTCCACCGTTGAGGTCTCCTGCACACACAGTCTCCTCTCCAACACCCTGAGGCCAGGAGATGCTGTACTCCAGCAGAGTGGAGTAACTTTTGTCACACTGGGAAGGCGGGAACACCGTCAACTGCACCTCCTGCAGCACAGAGCTTCGGAAACCAGCTGGGAATTTAAAAGTTGTATTAATGCTACCCAAATACTTGGCCTGGTTGGTAGAGCAAAGATCTGGCATCTTGCAGGATCGGCGTTCGATCCTTGATAGTCAATGAGGTTGGGCTTCTAAGTGTTATATTGGTAGGCAATTATCAGGAGGAAACTCTAAGCCATATTGACTATATAGCACTTTGAAGGTATGTATGAATTTGGGATAGGATGGAGGGAAGGAATGGTAGCCAACCACTTGGACCACCGAGGATCGAACGCCGACCTTGCATGAAACCAGAGCCGTTGCTCTACCGAGCAGATATATGTGCTCGGTAGTGCACATATATCAAGTGCTATATGATCATAATAGCAGAGCACTTTCTTCTGATAATTACCTTACATTACTACCGATAATACAGTCACTAGTTTAATTTATTTTACTCATAAGTTACAAATAAATGATTGTAAACATGTAAGGATTAAACATTTAGTCACTGACCAAATTGTGTGTCGCCCCAGCCAGTTAAAATGACTGTCTGATCCACCAGCCTCTGAGTGCTCTCACTCCCCCACGGCAGACACACCGGGTTGATCGTTGACTGAAACAAGTAGGGAGAATATTTTTATCGATATGAAAAAAATATTCTAAAAGTTAGAAACATAAATAATATTTACAGAAATTAATAATGGAAGCTTGATAATGGTACATGGAAGTTTCGTGACCTTACAAGGATACGTCACTTTGTACACAACACTGGTCGCTAACGAACTTTAAAACCTACTTAACCTTACATAATCCAAATTAATCTTACCTAACCTAACCATATATAACCTAAATTGACCTACCCTAATCTAACCTAACCTAAACTAACCTAATCAAACCATGTCCAAACCAATTTTTGCTTACTTAACCCAATAGAGCCTAATACAGCCTAAACTAATCTAATACATCATAAGAAATATATATATATATATATATATATATATATATATATATATATATATATATATATATATATATGAATTGTTGTCATATATATGATAACAATTCATATATATATATATTGTCCATAATTCCACAAATGTTGTCCACAATTCCTTGGAAATAAACTTTCCACTCTAGCTCGGTCTCACATTCGAGGGGTCTACGGTTCGAGTCTCCTAGAGCCCAGGTGAATGAAACATATACATGGTTTTGCAATCAGATAGAGATGCTTTGTGGAGCATCTTTTAACATCTTAAAATGTGCTTCGAATTCCGGTATTATCAAATAAGCACAGAGCAAAGTTCTGTTGCTATACTTTACTAGTTTGTTGCTATACTTTACTAGTTTGTTGCTATACTTTACTAGTTTGTATTATTCAATTAATGCTTTACGCTTTATTCGAAAAAATGGTGTTTACAAGTGGTATTTTTTCTGAAAAGGCAGGTTATTAGCCTTGCTCTTCTTTTCAAACAAAAACTGGAGGGCTGAAAAGACCCACTAATTTGAGTGAGTGAGACAGAGAGAGAGAGTGAGAGAGAGAGAGAGATAGAGAGAGAGAGAGAGAGAGAGAGGGGGGGGGGGTGCACTTACTTTGAGTCTGACCCTCTTGTCCAGCTTGATGAGGGCCAGGTCATGATAAGCCTGCGGATGGAAGTATTCCGGGTTAAGGAGGGTCTTGTCCACCCCATAATCCTCGTGGGCCGCCCCGTCGTTGTTGTCACTGTAGTCGTGTTCTCCCAGACGAACTACTTCAACTGTCCTAAAATGTTATTACCAACATATCTATGTAAATGCCTTCCATCACATCCATTTAACAATTGCATTAAATCTAACATGAGTCGCCTGTCGATTATATATGTTACTATAAAATTTATTTAAGGAATGTGTTTTATTTAATATTTATTTATATGTTCGTCATACAATTTGGACTCTTCCGAAAAAAATTAAAAATAGCTGTAGTCTACGGAGCTCAGTTATTATTTTCCATGATATATATACAATCACTCTCGCCTTCTTTTTTTATGCAATTATGGCATTAATGTATTAGAAGCCATAAGTGTTAATTATGACTTATACATTAAAAGGAAGCTGTACTCACTTGGCAGTCAAACAGTGAAGAGCTGTGAGGACCCACCGGTCATTGATTAGAACACCGGCGCAGAACCAGTTATTGCTATCACCACTGCGCTCTCCCAGCAACGCCTGTGTGGACGATTGTTTATCAGGGTGTCTCTATGGATGATGGAGTCATGTGTAGAGATTATATGTTCCTTGATAGGGCCTTGCGTTTTGTGCATTGTTGGGGTCTTAAATGAATATTGTTGTCTTGCCTATATATTGAGTTCGTTGGGGCTGACAGTAACCACGTGGGCATGTGAAGGCATAGACAACATTCATTTCTTTCAAGAGGTTTGGTTTGGTATTAAGAGAGTTTTTAATGGGCAAGTTGGCAGTTTTCTTGCCCTTATAGTATATTACTACTTCAGTCTTCTGGGTGGTGTCGGTAAGGGTCCCATTTCCCCCAATAATGTTTTTCAGGCCATTTTGTGGGCCGAGGAGAAGTTCCCGTAGAATATTTTAACTGTAGGAACTGTTAATGTACTGTTATCTGTTTCGTCTGAGGTTCCATTGCGACTCAGCCTGGTTTTAATGATCTCTTCGACATATCCGTTAGAGTTCATTACTGATCAGGATCTACTTTACTCCACCGATTTGATTTGATTGTTGCCGCAGGAAGCGGCAACAATCTTCTCTTTGTTAGTTGTCTCTTCTCCTCTGAAGAGACAACTAACACAACACCTGTACCCCCTATTAAACTATTTTACAGGAACTTCTTTTCCACAGCTCATAAAACGGAGGAAAGGGTCCTGAAAGATATTGTTAATAGGAACGTTATCCCTACAGACAAAAATCAGAAGATACAATTGACGATTTACTATAAAACCAAAAAAAACGGCCAAACTTCTCATGAGAAACTCTCCAGACATAAAGTAGAACGCTTTAAAAGAGACCAACGTCGTCTATGCCTTCAAATGCCCACTTGGGGACTGTAAGCCTCAAAGAACTCAGTATATAGGCAAGACAACAACATCTCTTTCCAGGCGATTAACGATGCATAAGCAACAGGGCTCCATTAAGGAACACATAATCTCTTCCCACAACCAGACCATCACCAGAGAAGTCTTAACAAACAACACAGAAATCATCGATAGATACAGCGATAACAGGCGGCTTGATATCTGTGAGGCACTGCACATCAAGAAGTCAACACCAGCAATCAATAGCCAATTAATGTACAACTATATTCTACCCACTTCAAGACTCCGCACCAATATAGAAGCATCAAGAAATAAGGGCCAATAGGCCCTTTGCAGTTACTTCCATTCTTCCCTTTAATTTATCCAATTTATACCCAATGCACCATGTTCTGTCTTGTGTTGAAAGTTTGCTCTGTCTTGTGTTGAAAGTTTTATTCACCTCATCCAAAACTGTTGTAACATATCACCTCACCCAAATGCGAGTATATAAGATAAAAGCTGTTTAAATGATAGCATAGTAAAACTCTGTTTAGTGTTTGCAGGTTATAGTTGTGTGTGTGTAAACTAAAGTCTTTGCAAATGTAATAAGTTATTACGAAATACTTTCAAGTGTCGCGTCAGACTAGAAATAAAAATGAATTTTGGAGAATTGATTTTTCAATTACCATCGACAGTGAAAAGAAACATAAGAAATATTGAGAAAATTCGTGTTAGAATTATTAATCTTACTTTTTCGGTCATATTTATTAACATATGTTTACAAGAAAGACTGCTACCAATATATATATATATATATATATATATATATATATATATATATATATATATATATATATATATATATATATATGTTGTACCTAGTAGCCAGAATGCAGTACTCGGCCAACTATACAAGGTCCGATTTGTCTAATAAGTCAAGTTTTCCTGAATTTCAATATTTTTCTATTTTTTTTTATGAAATGATAAAGCTATCCATTTCATTATGTATGAAATAATTTTTAAAAAATTTGAGTTACAACTAATGGACATTTATGACTGAATCCAACCTACCCTACCTAACCTAACCTAACCAATCTAAACCTAACCTAAACTAACATAAATAAATCAATAATTTATGTTCTTAATATAATGTAATACAAATATTTGAAATAAACCAACTGGAAATAATTTATTGAAAATAAAGAAAATTTATTTTCTGAAATATAAAAACTGAACTGAAAACTCACACCCCAGAAGTGACTCGAACCCATACTGCCAGGAGCACTCTGCTGGCGTACAGGATCCCTTAACCGCTCGACCAACACGACCGGACAAAAGAGGATGGTAGACGAGGCTATTTCCATCCTCCCGCGGGCACTCGGTTTTGGGGTATGAGTTTTCAGTTGCATATAGTCCTGGGGACCATTCAGGCTTGTTCGCATTTGTGTTCCTCACGTGTGCCCAAAGAATGAGGTGATTTGATAAAATACCATGCCCAAGATTACCAACTGAGTGCCGGCGGGGGGATGGAAATAGCCTCTGCTACCGTCCTCTTTTGTCCGGTCGTGTTGGTCGAGCGGTTTAGGGATCCTGTACGCCAGCAGAGTGCTCCTGGCAGTATGGGTTCGAGTCACTTCTGGGGTGTGAGTTTTCAGTTATATATATATATATATATATATATATATATATATATATATATATATATATATATATATTTATATATATATATATAGATATATATAATTGTTATTACATATATAAGAACAATTTTAAGTTTCTTACCATCCAGGGCCAATTGTTCTTAAGAGCGATCACCCCACCAAGCACATGCAGAGCTATGGACACAATCGTTCCATTGCTGGGTGCAACACGTGGTGCAAACGTCCTGGACTCATCCACAGGAGGGATGCCTGGCCTCCGCGGTGGCGTTGCTCCTCTATTAACCACAGCCGTCTCCACTCCTGCACCGTCCGTAGACCCCTGCCGGAGGCTACGAACCTCGCCGATGGGTTCCGTGACCAGGTTGAAGGTCTGAAAGATGTTTTGTCCACATTCTGCAATGGAACGTCACGGCATATATACAAGTGATGTTTACATACATACATAAACACTGTGTATGTTATTGCCTTTAGGCATAGTAAATACTAGCTCTATCTAGAAATCTAACGTTCTGTTTGTTACTCATTTTGTATGTACTTTTACCTGAATAAGTTATTATTATCATTATTATTATTATTATTATACCTTGCTTCTCTGTGTATATACTCTGAGAGTTTACTTTTGGCTTGAACTATGTTCAGGACTGATGCATACCTATTGGGGTGGTCAGTGAGCGACAGTGAGCTTAATGACTCTTGATAGGTTGATTGGCATTGATAACCCTTCTGTGGTTAATTGGTTTTAATAGATATTTTTATGTTGAAAGACCCTTATGAAGTTGATAGGCCTTTTTATGTTGATAGACCTCTTGAGTTTAATAGGCTTTAATAATCTTTCAGAGATTTATAGGCATAAAAAACCTCGAGATGTTTATATGCCTTTTATTAACCTTTCAGATGCTTATTAAATGTAATAACTTCTCAAAGATTGATAGGCCTTAATAACCCTCCAGAGGTTGATAGGCTTTAACAGCTCTCAAGATGTTGAGAGGCTGTAACAACCCTGCAGAGGATGATAAGCTTCAAATAACCTTCAAAGGCTGATAGGCTTTATTAAACTCAAAACCAAACCAAACAGTAAAATGTTGTCACTTCAACATTATCAATAAGATGTGCAACAACAGATGCATAAGAAGATAAGATAATTACCAGGAGAAAGAACTAAACCTACTTTCTTTCGTGTGCTTAAGGACAATATAACACATGAAAGGGCAATGAGAACAGGATAGGAGCTGGGAAGGCGTAAGGAGTCGTCTCCAACCACTTGGACAAACGGGAATCGAACGCCGACCTGCAAGAAGCGAGTCCGTCGCTGTACCGACCAGTCCAAGTCGGTGGAGAAAAATTATTCTCGCGGAATTCACTTACGAAAGTTGACAATGGGGGGAGAGATGTCTAGTATACTTCCCGGGTTGGTACCTGCAAGGTAAGAACTGAATTATGTATTGCTTATTTTCATTACATTGATATAGCAATCTGTTACAACTGTAGATGCAAAGAAATAGACGGTCAGAGGTCAATATAGGTCAAAGTTTCTTTGTATTTAGCATAAATAACATTATTCGTAAAACAAAATTAACAACTCATTACGCTTTTTTTGCTGGAGTGAACATATGTTAAGCTGTGATTGACTTACAGCTTGCGATTCGAGTATAGACGCGGCATAACATAAAGCTTGAAATTTGCATGACGCGAATGCAACTTGAAGAATAACAAGCATTAACTAATCACGAAAAATGTTGAAGCTGTACAATGGAATCGAACGCTCATCCCTGGACGCCTCAGGTACACAGAGTTCATGGATGCGAGTTCGATCCCATTGTACAGCTTCAATATTTTTCACATAAATATTATGTTTATGTGATTTCTCTTCAGGTAAACATAGACTTGCCAGGAGCAGCGAGGCAGCAGATAAGGGCATCGTTGGAGCAGGCCGGAGGACGCACGCGCCGGAAGGTCCTGATAGCGCTCGGACACTGGCGAATGTCCACACACCTGCCTCGGACACCTGTAGTCGCCGTGCAGCTGCCAGACCCTGAGGAGTGGAACACCAGTTTAAGTCAACCCTAACAAGACAATAACCCAAAAAGAGTGAAAATTAATAATTTGGTGAGGCAATTGTCGGGAAAAAGCACTAAGCTATAACGACAATATATTATTTGGTAAAGGTAATCAAGGCATTATAAAGACCCTGGGATGGAGGGCAATGGGGCTGGGATACAAGACCAAGGGGTTGGGATATGAAGACAAGAGTTATGGTTTCCAGTCCTATAGTTTTAACCTATATCCCGCTTATAAGAGTCATATCACCCTGATTTGTATATACCTCGAAGCATGGGGAACAAATTTTGGATATTTAAGGGGAAGCCTGAGCGGTTGGTGGACGGCAGTTATGATTTTTGTTGCTTTTGAAAATGGTTTTAGTTTTCTGTCAGGAAAATATGGCGCGGGGAGGTGAGCTTTACCGCCGGAGGAGAAAAGGAAGCCATGCATTGTGGGAGCCGTGCTAGCCGCCTGTTGATTGGTCAGTACCAGGTGTGTGGCATTGTTGACCAGTGGCGCGGCGCCAAGGGTGTAACTTAGCCGGTCGGCGGGCGTCCGCGGCTCAAAGGCGGGAAGGAGCGCCAGAGCTCCTCCTGTGACGTAACTGACTGAACGAAGGTGCGCTCAAGAGCTCTCTAGTCTGTGAGGTACAGAGGCCTCAGGAAGAGTTTATTCAGCAACAGTTCGAATACAAATGATGAGGAAAGCTAGACAACTCCCAGGTGAGCATCGGAGGCAGTGCTTAGTTGGTGGAAGAAGGCACCAGGAGCTGGAGGCCGACAAGACCAGAGATCGTTTGGTAGCTGAATGGCACTAAGGGGAGCTGTGTGTTGGTTCCTGCAGGCTGTAAGCATTGACAGCTGAGTGAGGCTGAATAGAAAACAGTCAGAGACTACTGAGAAGTAATAAGTACTGACGACGAGACCACAGGGAGGAGACGACATATTCAGTGAGGGAAGGAGGAAGCCGAGAGCAGTGCCATCCTGCCATGTTTTCAATGTGTGTGCATGAAGGAAGAGCTGCAGAGAGGGAGGACGGGTACAGAGAAGACGAGCCAGCCTACGAGTCGTCGTTGGACCTACGACACTACTAGTCATCGCTGAGCAGTACTATGAGGAACCGGACCCTGACTGCCATCGCGAAGTGGAATCCGTGACTAATTGTAGCGGAATGATAAGGTAGATAATAAGAACATAAGAAGCATGAATGTAACTGCAGAAGGCTTATTGGCCCATGCGAGGCAGCTCCTGATCTATAATAATCTTTCCCTCCCCATTGTCCCTTGAGTTAAGAACGTAAGAACAAAGACAACTGCAGAAGGCCTATTGGCCCATACGAGGCAGCTCCTATTTATAACCACCCAATCCCACTCATATACATGTCCAACCCGCGCTTGAAACAATCGAGGGACCCCACCTCCACAATGTTACGCGGTAATTGGTTCCACAAATCAACAACCCTGTTACTGAGTTAGGTGGAATGTCTCTCATGAATAATAATATTGATTTATTGTAAGGAGATTTCCAGGCATAATATATATATATATATATATATATATATATATATATATATATATATATATATATATATATATATATATATATATATATATATTATTAAATATGACCGAAAAAGTAAGATTAATAATTCTAACACGAATTTTCTCAATCTTTCGTACATTACGCTTCACTGTTGGAGGTAAATCAAAAATCACTTCTCCAAAATTCATTTTTATTTCTAGTCTGACGCGACACGGGCGCGTTTCGTAAAACTTATTACATTTTCAAAGACTTCACAAATACACAACTGATTAGAACTTACGTATCTCTGCTATTATATCTACATTTGAGTGAGGTGGGAGGGATGACGTGGCATATAGTGATGTGGCATTAACACAAGACAGAACATGAGGGGATATTAATAGGGTATTAAAAGTATCAACACAAGACAGAACAGAAACAATGGGTATTGAATAGAAGTGTTTGTAGAAAGCCTATTGGTCCATATTTCTTGATGCTTCTATATTGGAGCGGAGTCTT